ACAGGAATCACAACTCACGGAGGATTTAACTAGTTGACCGTACCCTTGAATCGTGAACGAATCATCGAATATGTGAGAGTTGAGAGTTGATAAGAGAGCCGACTCACTGATTCAGTTCATTAAACTGAACTGAGTTGAATGATTTGACTCACTAAAGTGAGTTGAAATTCCCATCCCTAGCGCGAGACTATGCGAGGCGAGACTATGCGAGGCGATACTAGCGCATCTAGTTCACTCTCGCACTCGGCTGCCCTCGTGCTGGCTCGTCGAATTTGTACTGCCGGCATTACTGTTGTTGAACAGTTATCGTCGTAGTGTCGTCGTCTGAATAGTTGTCGAAAAATGGAATACCTATCAATTAATCCCAATACCAGGCGATGGAGATTGTTTATTTCGTTCCGTGTCACATTTAATATTCGGCACGCAAAAAGAACATCGAAATATTCGATTAAGAGTGGTTAACTTGGGGGTAAATAATTGGGATATGCACGAAGAATTTGTCATTGGTGAGCTTTCGTATAGACTACCTATTTATAATTCTAATGATTACGAACATTTGAAGAGGCTAGATGGCGAGTATGCTGGTCACGTCGAACTTGGATTAGCCGACTTTATTCAAGTCATGCATTTCGTGTGTATAGATCTAATGATCTTAATGTATTTGTAGATTATGGTTCTGGTTTTATAATGTGTAATTTATTATTTTCTGGCAATGGTGACGCAGGACATTATAGTGTTTTAGTTTTTGGTAATAATATGAATATTCAAAATTAATTTATGTTACCTAAAGAAATAACTGCAAGTCTGCAAACACTAATAGTAAGCATAAAACATATTCTTTAACTGGAAGACAAGAAAGAAAAAAATATAAAAAAACTCGGAATCACAGTGTATTATTTTATAAATGTGCTTTATCACATAATATATTTCACGTTACTCTCTATAATTTGGGTAATTTAACATTTAAATGCGAGTATTGTCATTCGTTKCACTTTGAGTGTGAAAAAACGACTAGAATGCATTTCAGTCTATGTTGTGGTAATGGCAAAATATCTTTACCGGAGAGCCGTTTACCTAATGAAATATTTGATTTATTTGTTGGTGAAAATAATGAGTCCAAACATTTTAGAGAACATATACGTCAATATAACAGTGCAATGTCATTTGTCTCTTTAGGTTCTCACATAACATTACCATCGGGGTATGGGCCTTATTGTTTTAAAATACATGGTGATATATACATCGTATTAGCTCCCTTTATCCTAGCTCTTGCCAAAATCCATCGTATGGTCAATTATATATTTTAGACTTTGCTGAAGCAAATAAAGTTAGATTAAACAAATCACAAAATATATTACTTAAAAGTTATATACTTGATAAATTACACAATGTATTATCTAACATAAATCCATATGCTAAATCGTACAAACAAATGCATGAACTAACAGATATTCGTAAGTACAACGGCCCAACAGTTTCTGAAATCGCAGCAGTATTTGAATCTTCAGATGGCGCACCTCCTTCACATAGACATATATCAGTTTACCCAAAAAAAGGAGATATACAAAGGATTGATTACGACAGCATGCACTGTGACCCTATGAATTACGTTTTAATATGGCCGTACAGAGAACCAGGCTGGTATATAAATATGCAATATAATGGTAAACGTAAACCTGCCAAAAGATGCAACATTTCCAAGCGCGAATATGTATGTTTTCGAATGGCAATAAAAGGTACTCACCCGTKTGGTAATTTTAATCAAGTACTGAGCGCAGGCAAACTGACTCAACAACTGATCGTTGATTATTATTGTCATATTGAAGGTGATAGACTGAAATATATTAGAAATCAGCAATCAAAATTAAGAGTAGACACATACGAGTATTCTGGCTTAGCAGACGCTATACGAGCAACGGCAAACGAAGCTAATGTTAGAGTGGGAAAATTGGTCGTATTGCCTTCTTTGTTTGTTGGAAGTCCTCGAAATATGGTACAGAATTACCAAGATGCCATAGCA